CTTAAAAAAAAAGTTTATATATGCAAAGTTTTTGAAATTTATGCGTAAAATCCAAATAAATTATTATTTTGCTAAAAAATATGCAATTTCACCAACTTGTAAAAGCCAACAAAATTTCAAAAATTATAGATTTTTTTTAAGAAAGTTACCAGCAAACACTCTTCACCAAATATTAGGGCAATTTTTTCAGTTTTCTTGAAAAAAAAATTATAAAGATCGAAGGGGGGGTGTTTTGAGATCATCATCGTTTTACGTTTTTTAAATACTAATTTACTAAGTTATTCTTTCAATGTATTTTTTCCGCACAGATAATTTAACTACCTAAAACTTCTTCTCATGTGCCATTTTGATCAGATCAATAGTTTTCAAGTTATGATTTTTTGAAAAAAAAATAATCCATTTTTTTATACGCCCTTTTCAAAAGTCACTCTGGAGGAAAAAATCATATTTGAATGAAAAATGCAACCATTAGTAGCAGCGAACACGTGAGAAATGTTTCATTCAAATCGGAAACACTCATGTCCAACCGGTTTGCGTTTTGGGCTGGAAATGCTCAATTACAAGTTTACGTGAATGCATGTTTCCATCACTATTAAAATTCAAAAATTTTATCTGTGTAGTTTTGGCATCATTCATTCATTTAATTTATATTCGAATGCGTGAATCTTGGCCTTAACCCCAGCACGACCTCATAATCGACAGTTTTTTGCATATTAACCCATGCTTTCATCATTTCTTCTTCATTCTTCACCACTTTAGGTCGCTTTAGAAGGTGCTCCTTCATAATGGGCCAGTATTTTTTTTTTTATTGGGCGCAGTTCCGGAGTGTTTGGGGGGTTCAGGTCTTCGGTAAGAAATCGACATAATTCGCCTTATGTCACTCTAGGACGCCCTTCGTGTAGTGGCATGATGCCAAAACCGGCCAAAAGATCGTCGGACCGTCGTGAGCCTTCAGGAGAGGGAGAAGCCGCTTTTGGATATACTCTTCCAGATACACCTGTCCATTCATGGTGCTTGCCGTCACGAAAGGTGTACTCCGCTTTCCGCAAGTACAAATCGCTTGCCAAATTAAGAACTTCTTGGCGAACTTCGACATCTTTTGTGTTCGGAGGTTCTCGGGTACATCACACTTATCGTTGGCAGTCACATATAGGTTTCCTGGAATCTGGTTGAAGTCCGCCTTCAGAAATATGCGTCATCCATTACGTTATCTTCTGGTTGTACAACTTCCGGTCACGGCTTATTGCGACCGTATTCTGTTTCTCGTCAAGGTTTGGGGACTTCTGAACCTTAAACAGACGTAGTCCAGCTCGAGTTTTGGTATTCTGCACGAAAGCACATGCAACTTTTTAGCCACATCTCGAACTCCGTTTAAAGGCCCCAACCACGCGTTTGTAATCGTTCTCGTTGACATAACGCCTTTTTTCCGGATTGTTGCTTCCGATCAACAGTCAGACGTTGTTCGAACCGTTTTATGCTACCAGACACCGTGGAATTCGCGATTCTCAATTTTTTTTTCCAAATGGCACGATGCGAACACACTGTTCTTTCTTTACCATTTTGAAAACTTTTGCGCACCTGATGAAATCAACATACAGAGTGTAAACAATACACATTAAACTATGTCTACGTCTTCAACAAATTTTACCCAACGGGTCAAAAGTTAGAGCAATATGAATGTGTTTGGATTATAAACGCTGCACTCTTTAATCCTTAAATGGAGATGTTTCATTTAAGGATTAAAATATTCAAATAAGGATGAATTTACTTCTTTTTAAATATTCATAACAATATAAAAATAAAACGTTTCCATACATTCATGAAGGAAATATTTGCTTCTTTAATAGCATATTTGAAGAAAAGAGTCGAGAGTGTTATCGCTTTTGGCAACGTAGCTTTTTGCTTCTATGTCGCAAAAATCGAGATAATTGTTGACGGGATTGAATGTAAAAATGTTTATTCATTGTAAACAAACACTTAAGTAGCGGAGCCGGTGGTGTAGTGGTAAGCGTGATTACCTCTCACCCCAGCAGGCCTGGGTTCAATCCTAGTCGGTGCCGCCGGGATGTTCTGAGGCATAACATCTCTGATCACGCCTTCCTTCGGAAGGGAAGTAAAGCCGTTGATCCCCGGTTCATGAGTTGATGGGTCGATAGGTAGGGTCCAGGTGTGGGAGCTACCTCCTGGCGTCGGTAGCATTGGTGCTCAGCACGGAAAACAAGATCGACGGAAAACAAATCAAGGAAAAAACACTTAAGTGTTAAATTTCATTTATTCGATTATTGAAAGGAGAGCATATTTAGCATCTAGATTAAAAATATTCAATGATATAAATATGTCTGCCTTTCGTTCATCGTTAAAATACTATAAAAAATAGATAACAATATCACAGACAAACAGACGTAACTCTTTGAAAAACTTGTTCTTGAAAACATAGTATCTCAAAACATATAACCTCAGTAACGACATCTATCTGGCTTCTCGCGGAAAACAAGCTTGCTCGCTAACTCGTAAACAATATTGCATAAAATTTCTATAGAATATATAGAAACGTCAAAGTGATCCGATGCCAGCGCTGCGGCGAGTAGTTCGCGGAACTGATAATATTCAAATCAACCGTTAAATGCATGAACGAAGATACACAATGAAGAGTTACGTCTGTTTGTCTGTGTCAATATGTTCTACTAAGCTAATATTCGAAAAGATAAATCAAGATGAATAATCAATGATTAAAATCTCTTTACTAAAGTAATCTTATCTGATATTCCATGTAAAGAACATGCCTCGTTGCACCTAGGGTCTGTTATCAGATTCTGAATAGCATTAAAATACATTAGTGCAACTGCAAAACCACGAAAATTAAAAAATATATGAATTTACAGAAGTCAGCATAGATTGATTGATTGATTTATCTTTATTAGGGAGGCTTTCAGCCTGGGGCTGGTTCCCCTCCAACGGAGTCAGCATAGAAAAAGTGTAACCCTCTTACGTTAGATTTTGGTAGGTCTTTAGTGGGAATGCCACTGATGGAGAGTATAATGTGTCGAAATACGTAGCTGTCATGGATACAAACATGAGTTAAATGGAATAATATGGAAGATATGGGAAGGAGAAGCATAGTGAACAGGTGGGGCATAGTGAGCATCCCGCACTTTGGCTCTGGATCTCGTGCTCTATGAAATAAATCAACTGGTAGTAGGTTCAATATCATTATATTCCGAACGGCCGGAAGTCCAAGCTGGTGCACATGATTCTGATTATACCCCACCTGTTCACTATGCCCCTCTTACCCCTAACCTTTTTTACTGCTTTGAGCATTCCACTAACAACAAAATTTCATTACTGTAGTATAGTTACAAGTGTTTCCGACCCAAGTCGAGGAGCTATAGCTATCAGTTGCATAATTTATCACTTTCCGGTAGTTCTGGAGTCAGTTGTTGTAATATCTAACCAACAATAATATGAAAAGTTTCACGCACAGACTGACGTTTGTATTTCATAAAAGCTTTGTTGTTGGGTAACAACGATTATCTGAATCTTGCGTTTTTTATTTTTTGCAAAGTATGCATTTGCATTTTTGCAACATTTTTTTACATTTGGGTGTAGAAGGGTACAGTAAATGACGGATTACTCTGCAGTTTCTTAAATGTGTTGTGACCGCTAAGTTGCTGGATGATTTTCGCCTTTCCATGTGGTCTGTGGATTCTGAAAGAAATTCAATATGTCTTTTTTTTTTGGTCCGTGTGTGATGTCGCAGCATATTAAAGTTGTGATAAATATGATTTATCTAAACAAGTAATTGATGATCGCATCGAATCTATTGTTAGTCAGTTAAGATATGGAAATACATACAAATACTAATACCTAATTACTATTATCAATTATTTTTCTCAATCAATGCTTTATTCGCAAGTTGTTAATCGAATGCTAAATGTTTGTGAAAATTATTTTTTATGGTAAACTATGAACTAATTTCACTCTGGAATTAATTGCTGAATGCTTTGAAAAATATTTAGTTTGAACATCAAGCACAATATTTTATAATATCCTGTCTGTTGTATGTTGTCGAATATATCGAAAAAGCTAGTAATATCTCGAAAATTATGCAAAAGTATGGTCCGTCACGAAAGAGATTTCTAGTTTCAATAGATAATAGCGAGAAAGCAATTTTGATTTATTATCCTCTTACACACAGGAACCCGTTACCAGTCACTAGACAGAGGATTAGTAGATCCACATGACAGAGAATTCATCCCTATTAGAGAACCACGAGACCGTTCACGAGATCGCTCCTTGGAACGAGGACTCTACTTGGAAGAAGAACTATACGGCCGCCCACCAAGACAAAGTCCGAGTCACATGAGTATAGTTTGGAAGGGCAGTCATAAAATGTATTTATTTAATTTTTATGCTTCACAGCTATGCCAGACCGGGGGTACCTCGGTGATCTACAGGTACAGAACAATGATTTACAACGTGAGCTTGGTAATCTGAAAAAGGAACTTGAGCTAACGAATCAAAAACTAGGTAGCTCTATGCACAGTATTAAAACATTCTGGTCTCCAGAATTGAAAAAAGAGCGAGCTCTCCGCAAAGAAGAAAGCGCAAAATATAGTCTCATCAATGATCAACTAAAATTGCTTAATAGTGAAAATCAGGTAAAGTATTTCGAGTTTCACCTGCAAATATAAAAACAAAATCATAATTTGTACATAACTGTTAACTTTGGACAATTCCGGGGCTATTTCATATTAAAGAAACAAGCAATGTTGGTGCGCCAGCTCGAGGAAGAATTACGCTTAAGAATGCGGGCGCCCAACATTGAGATGCAGCAGCAAATGGAAGCTTTGTATGCGGAAAACGAGCATCTCCAGAGAGAAATTTCGATCCTACGTGATACCATCAAGGTAAGTGTCAGAAAGTTTCTGTAAACATATTGGTGAAGGATTTCTTACGAATGGGAAAGCGAAGACAAGACATGAAAACAATATACATGCTTAATTTTTACCTTCAAACGCTTCCGATTGAGCACGCAATTTATAATTTTCAGTTATGCTAACTTAATAGCTAAGCATATTTATTCATTAATTTTTCATTATTCTGGCGTCTTTTTTCTCGAGTACACCACGTGATCTTTCTTAAGTGGTGACCTATTTGTGCAATATTTATGGTTTATGCGATGTGGTACTTCCTCTAATAATTAACTCTCGTTTCCTCTCCGTTATACTTTCCTTTCGCACCGGCGTAGGAGCTCGAACTAAGGATAGAGACACAGAAACAAACTCTGCAAGCCCGAGATGAGAGCATCAAAAAGTTACTGGAGATGCTTCAAAGCAAAGGAATGGGTAAGTGCTCAGATACTAGTTATGATATCTCGAAATTACCTTCGATTCGAGTGTTTACACGACGACCTCCAAATAACGACTGCAAAATAATGCAACAAGTCACAAGTTTTAACGATGATTTACTATCAAAAGCCAATCATCCACTCAACTTTTTTTTTCCGTGCTAACCCTAACTGAAAAGGCAAAGAGGAGGAGCGCCAAATGTTTCAGCAAATGCAAGCCTTGGCCCAAAAGCAGGTAAGGCTGTTTATTTAGTGTACCATTGCTTAACTGGTTATGCTTTGCCCTGTAAACTTATCATGTTATCAAGCAGAAGTTTTGTGTAGTGACAGAATTTAATAGCAACCATGATGTGCATTCTTATTTTATCGATTTACTTTGTAGTTTTGCTTGCGTAACATGTTTATTTTTTATTTTTGGAAGAGATTGCAATGATCTTTGTAAGCTCATGAAATATTGGAGCAAGCTATGGGCAAATTTACAGCAAACTCTTCCAATATTCTTAAACAGGTATTTATAATAAGTATAAAAATTGGTACTTGTTTTTTTTTCAATTTTTGTTTTAATTTAATAACGTAGTTTCTTTGGCGAAAGAATTATTACTCAATTGTTTCCGCAAGTAAATTTAATATCGCCTTATTGAGCTAAATTCTTGAATCGTATTTTTGATGCAAGCACAATACTCACTTACCGGAAAACGAAATACAAAACCAATATTGTCGAAGGTGACAAATCGCGTACTAGGGATGATAGATATTTAAGAACAAAGAGAGATTCTCATACGTATGAAATATTTTCATATCATCCAACAAGACCACCAGTTTTTGTTTAGTTGTATCTCCATTTTTATTTTTGCAATTCTTAGCGTTGAGCTGAACATTCTACAAAATAATGCATTTGAATATATTTTGATGATCAATAATTCTTTCGTCAAAAAATTGAAAATTTTTGACGAAACTTATCGGTAATGATGGCTCCAAACATATACAAACGTTTGTACTTATTGGCACACTATTGTTAATGTTGTTTTTAGAATCGACTAAACTTGCTGATGAACATATTTAATTTCACATGTTCCTTAATTAAACCAAAATACACAGACTGCTGTCAAACAATGCACCAAATGGGGCCTGTACCCGTAAGAATTCGAAAAAAAATGCATCAACTGTTCTTATGAAATCTTTTGAAATCAATTCGAAATCCTGATTATAAATCTATGGTTATCGCTTTCCCATTTTCCTGAAATCCAAAATAAAATTGTTTTAAGAAAAGTACCGCGTATGAACAACCACTTTGTTCTTCTCCTTTTTAACGCAAATTTCAGATGTATGATTACGAGACCTGCTCCACAACACCAGATATAATGAGAAACCTTTACCAGGGACAACCGTCAAATTATAACACTAACTACCCGTCGACTTCAATGTGGGATCGTTCAGGACGATTACCAGCAAGACGATATAGTATAAGCGGTTTACCATCAAGCTCGTTAGTCGATTACTGTAATCTGTCCGATAATGCGGCGAATCTTTACTCGCAATCAATAAATCTTACGAATTTATTAAACGAAACGACAAAATCATTATCTAGATCATCAAATATATTAAATATGCGTTATTCCCAGACGCCAACTTTGACTCAACAGCAAATTGGCTCTGTAGACTCGATAGTAAGCCATCCATCATTCTATCAAACATCTCAAGCACAACCACCTCCACCGCCACCACCACCTCCACCATCAGCACAATCGCCGTACGAAAACATGCTACCCATGTCATCAAATTTTTGCTCGTACCCGAATGTAAATACTCATATGCCAAATTATAACACTCCCAATATGACCAACTACGTCGGCAACTATCGACCGTCATCCGAGTATCTCCTGTCGAGACCAATATACAGCAACACGTGCTCGAATTCATCGAATCTGTTATCCCAGCCACATAGCATTCTATCACAGACGAGGAATCTCCTCTCACAACATTACGCATCGAATCCATTACTGTCGCGATCATTGACGAATCTGCCATCATCATCTTCATCCTGTCATTTTTTAAATAGACGGCAGCTTCCTGTGGACTATCCTCCATTTGTTAACGATTATGGTAATAATTTTTCCTTCAAAACAAACCCATACTATCAGTCGCCATTCTCCAAATTAGACTTAGACTACAGTAGAACCAACGATATGAAGCGACAAGTAAGTTTTAAGTTCGATGTAGATACTATGTCTATCGATACATAAAAAATGGAGATATGTAGCATATTCTCGCTCAATGATTTAATTTCCAACATTCTATTTATTTGTATTTCGTATAAAACTCGGGTTCAACCATTTAGAGTTCTTCTAATATTATTGTTGCTTCTCGAGTAAATGCAGTTCTCTGTTCCCTACTATCATAAACATCAATTATGTTTAGTTGTTTAGAATGGAATATCTTAAATGTAGAAATTATATGTATATTTCTTATCTATCAACTACAGTACCCATAAAATCATATTTTTACAGATGCAGGCAAAGAAGATAAACTAATTTCAATTTTGTCTCACAATTTTATGTTGCTGCTCGAACATTTGTGCTATAGGAGCATACTAGTAATAAACCTAAGCCATCATCAATTTTTATAAGTTAAGCCTCTATCGAAATAGAGTTGATGTCAGCTTAGGCGTCCCTAATATTAGATGCTTGTATAACTTCAGAAATAGGACGTTTATGGTAACCTTTGCATGAACGACCAAGAATAGTCATATGTACCATCCAGATGACACACTCATCTAAGAGAAATTGAAAAATTCTTCAAACAAAAATTTGGCCGACCCCGTGAATAATTAAACTACTCTTTTGAGTAATGTTTTAGGAAAAATAATTTTCTCAGAGAAAGATGTATATTTTAACATTGACTCAAACAAATTCATAAAACTAGTGGATTCATTAATTTAGGATGCATATTTTTTACTATTATATAGTGAAAACAAATCGTTTTCTCAGGCGAGGCGTATGATTTATCCGACGTTCCCCTACATTGCTCTTTTCACTTTAGGTCTACTAAATCCTTATAAGAAAAAAAAATTGCGGCGTTTCACTTGGCGTGGTTGTTCGATTCAGACAGTTAAGTTTATGCGAAATTACATGCAAAGTCACGTTAAGGGAAAACCTTGATGCCACGTGGTGCATAAAATTTACAAAATCATTAAGTATTATCATTCATTAGTTAAATCTAGCTCCTCCATCTTCTTATTTGGAGAATACGTCCCAACTGAAACTGTATGCCTGCTTCCACCATATTTTTTAACATATTCTCACTTGTTAATCTAGAGTTATCTAAGCCTCTACTTTATATGCATTGTTATCAAATGGTATGTAGGTATAAACACAGCCAAATTGAAATTTATTTTACGTGTTACAAAAGTGTAGATTCAATAAAAATTGAATAAAAACTGATATGATTACAGGAATTAGGAACAGCTATGAATTACAGGATAACGAAAAAATCTAAATTAGTAAACTAGTTTTCTTAAGTTGTAATAGTAATTCGAAAAATAACAAGAAAAATGTTGCAAAATCGTACGTAATCGTATGTTTTACGATATTAATATGTTATTACATTGGTGTGTAACACCATTAAGTCGAGGGAAAAAAATTGGTTTGACACTATTGTGAAATTCCTCCAGGTGTTCTAGCTGAATCGAATGAGTACACAAATTGCATTTCGGAGCACAGTTCCCTTACTTTGTCGAATATACTCTTCATACATTTTGCCATGTTGCTTTAAACCGTCATAGTTACTTACCGAAGAAAGCATTAAGTTAAGTACACAAACAGAAAAGTTGTGACAGATAGTGTGCGTTTGTTTTACAACATGAACTGTCCTTACTATGTGGCAGGCACAATACTCTTTGCTTAGGGAAGTCAAGTAATTTTTAAACCCGAAAAATTTCTAGACCAAAAATGATCAGGCTTAATATTTTTTTTAACGTTTTGATGTTTCTAAAAATATTGGAAAAAATATATATTAAAAGTTCATGAAACTCTGTATATTTCTTTGATTTCTTTCGGGAAGCTCGCTGCAAAAAATATATAAGTTTGAATTTTTCTTAAAATATTTCAGAAATTATCGGAAATCTCAATGAATATTGGTTTTTATCACCAATTCTAATAAAAATGTACGAGTAAAACATGTTTTCTATGGCATAATGACAAAAAATTGGACATAAAAAACAGCAATTATTCGGTTTGTGAGAGATGACGAGATAGAAAAAATGTTTTTACGTGCAAGTACGATCACTTTGAGTAAACGCTCACGAATAATAAATCACTTGACGGACTCTCTGAAAGTGAAATGGACTGGTTTTTTTTAGCCAAAACAATTATTTTATTAACCTCTTCTTTTAACTAACAAATGCAAAATATCATTCTAACACCTAATGATTTATTAATTCAAAAAAACTTGTAATTTTTCTCAAGAATCTACGGAATTACTAATTTTCTGAGATTTTTGATATTCGTCGTAAATCAGTCTGACTGAATTAAACTTCCGGGCTATAAACAAAAATGCAGAAAAAGGTATTGAGAAAACTCGTGCATCACAATTAAAGCTAAATTTAAGCAAGTTTACTTTCAATATCAAATTGAAATAAATATTTCATATCAGTATAGGATTAAAATTAAAATATTTAAATATTTGTTTTCGATTTGCTAATTGGAATAATTAAAGAATTTTGCTCTCACTCATGTCTTAAAGAGTATTTATTTTGTTGTCATTGAAAGCAGAACTAGTACTCCATTTGATATTTTCTGAGGAATTTATTGCTCCCAATTTTCGCTAAAATCGCTAAAACCAGCACACACGAGAGCACACTGTGTAACGAAATACATTAACATCGCAACATCAAATTCAGTTTTTAATTTGATCTTGAACTCTGCTCTGGTACCCTAATTGAATTCTAAATTTGATGTTGTGATGTTGTTTAAATGATTACTCAGGTTGCTGTCATTTTGACATTTTTAACGGATAAAATATTAAAATTGAAAGTAAAAAAATCACTATGCGAAGAAAAAAAAGAGGTTTTTAATGAAATTTTATTCTTTGAACATCACTTTGCTGCAAAAAGGAGATTTTAAATCTACGTTTTGCAACAAAGTGACATTCCAAGAACAATGGTCTAAATTCAAGTTATTTGGTGCATACACGAAAAAAAAAATTCTCTTGCAACAATGTAAGATTGTATTTATTACATCGTCATCGTGTTTCATGCATCAAATGTAATGGAAGTTCTTGCAATGGACTGCATAGTACATACATTTAAGTTTCCATAGCTAAAATTGACGTTTGTGTTATATTTAGTTTCTTAGGTAATAAATTATTATTTCTAAAAATGATATGCAGGATTGATTCGTACATGTCTAATTGAATTTCAAAAACACATATTTTTTTAAGATTAACATTTACTCATTCATCACAAATAGGCTCGCATGGATAAATGATAATCAATTGATTACTCATCGTAATAATTAGAAAAAAAAAAATGAAAGTTAATCAATAACAACTGTCCCGAATTTCATTGCATGATTTATGAAGGTTTTAAAGCATTCTTCAAATCCAAATCATGGTCTAAGAGACTATGATAATATGAAAATTGTTGCATGAACTGTAAAACACTACAGATTTAGTCCAAATCTCATATAAGAATGACATTCATCGCATTATGTTTATCTTTCATCGTACCTGTATAATGCAATATTATGTCATTTGTTCATCGTACAAGAGTTGAAATTAGCGGCGCCGGTGGTGTAGTGGTAAGCTTGATTACCTCTCACCCCAGCAGGCCTGGGTTCAATCCATGTTCTGAGGCCCCGGTTCTTGAGTTGATGGGTCGATAGGTATGGTCCAGGTGTGAGAGCTGCCTCTCTGCCGTCGGTAGCAGTGATGTTAATTTTCATATCATTTGATTGAAGATGAACCAATACAACCATTCAATCAATTTTGTGAAAACGAATTCTCACCTGACCATAATTTGAAGAGCCCCTTTCTCATTCGAAGCTCATCGTCACTGTCAATTGAGCCACTCACTACAGTCCGGAACAGACAAGTCGACCCGATGTCGGATCAATATAAGGCAAATTTAAGGTCGATGTTGGGTCAATGTCGGGTCAACATCGGGTTGGGGTTTGGTAGAAGTCAGGTTGGTGTCGGGTTGTCTTAGCTTTTTCGCCGGAATATCAACCAGACTTCCGTTTATGTATAGGTTACACTCAATTGAATGATAACAAGCGTTTCTCAAATGAAAATGATCCATGCCTTCGTCAAATGACTAAGCAACTGATATCACCCATTTGAAGGAGGTCCCCTTTAATAGCTGATAGCTGATTTTCTCATTTTCATCGAAAATATTCAATTGATTTTGAGAATTTACAGCACTGGTCGGTAGCATTGGTGCTCAGCATGGAAATCAAGATCGACGGAAAACAAACCAAGGGAAAAAAGAGCAGAAATTAAATCGTATATTTTCGTAGTATATGTCAAACTGAATTTGTTTATGCATATTAAGTTGGATATGATGTTAAATTGAATCGCTTATAAAGTTGTTTTTAATTTTCTCGTATATGACCTCCACTTATGTAGATATAAGATTTATTTAATTGCAAACAACTTTGATGTATGAACATGCATTTTGATTGTAAGTAAGTAAGATATGAGCTTAATTTGTATTCTCTTAGGGGCAATACATTAAGTACGTCACGCGAATTTGAGAAAACATTAACCCTCATTCCCCCTTTTGTTACGATTTCCCTATACAGTATACATTGCTTGTCACACATCTATAAATCTCCCTCTTCCTTACAGCGTGATGTACTAAATAGTTCACCTCTATAGGTCTGTTCACAAATTACGTAATGCAAAAATATCAGTTTTATACTCTACCGTACCCCATGTAACTAAAAAATACACATTTATCAACACCCTTTTCCCCAGGTGTAACGCGTATCTATGAAACTTTTCAAAGAATTCATAAATCGCATTTATATTTGCGTCTATAAAATTTATGCCATATAAAAATACAATTAGTAAAACAGTATTACGAAATATTGTATTTAATCACAGGAAGCTGTAAGCAATAATTTGAATTAATTATAATAGCGTAGAAAGGTTTCGGCATTGAGAAAACCATCCGAAATCTCTCTTGAAAAAAGGAGGAATTTGTTTGACCTAGCCCAGACAATCAGAATGTATGCATTTCAAAGTTTTTTTTTTCGGTATGCGGACATGAAAACCAACAAATAAATCGTATAAAATGCATATAAAGGTCTCATACGTACAAAAGTGGAGGCCGTACCTGAGAAGACCAGAATATAAAATCAATAGCTTGTTTGGCTTTTAAAATTGGCGAACAGAATATCTAAAATTGCAATGGATATTAAAGGTAAAATATCAAATATAATATCAAATCTTTGTGACCATAACTGAGTAACAGTAAAGTCTGTTGTTGCCATATCTAAAGAAAACCAAAAATCATCATATCAATATCATATTTTCTTATTATATCTCATCAAGTTAATAGTATGTTGTATAAAATAATATTTTAAATGACATATTA